TTTTGTCCTGTGCAGACACAGCAGATAACATAATAAAATATTTAAGCATATGTCTCTGAAGAAGTTTCAAATATGTGGAAAAAATTACCCTCAGAATTCTTTTGAGCAATAAGTGTTAACTTCAACTTTGTGGAAGACTGTTCAGTCTGTTGAGACATGTTTGAGGACCACAGTATCTTTTCTTTCCGACCGATAGGCTGGCTGCCCTGTCTTGTCTGAACAGGGCTCCCTGGATGGGTGTGAATCTGAACCAGGGAACAAAGGAGGTGCACTTTACTTTCCTCTCTTTGTGCCATGAGAAATCTATCCTCCTCCATGATCCAGCCTTAGTGAATGTAACAGATGGGTTTAATCCATAAAAATGAAAAACTTTTCCCATTTCAACTCCATTTCCTGCCTGTCCAGGTAAAATAAAACTTTCCCTGAGGAAATAATGTAAATGCCCTCGACATTCTTAAAAGATCCTACATAGCACAAAATATTGCTAGGAACTGAACCATGTTTCTTTTCATTTAAAAAGAATTATGAATGGGGTAGTGAAAAAAATATAGATGGGAGTTAGGAAATGCTTTCCAATCCCAGCTTCGTTGTGCTTTCCTTCCCAAAGCTTCAATTGCCTTGTCTGTAAAGTGGGACTGATAAAAATGCATGCCTTGTCTATCTTATGGAATTATTGTGAAGAATCCAATTAAATGATATCTGTACAGACTCTTGCCGTACTACAAAGGGTGACATAAATGTGCCCTGGTATTGTTACTACAAGGTCCCCCATGCCATCTTTCCTCAACAGTGTCAGTTTCTGCCCTTCTTCTTTGTGCCTGGCAGGCTGCACTCAATTCATTTCCTTTGGCACAGACACAAGTAATCTTCTGTTATTACAGGTGAAAGGAGGTTGGAAGCTACTGATTTTGGAGTAGACAACAATGGTCTTGCTCCAACAAACCTTCTGGGGAAATCCACAGAACATTCAACTCCTATCTTGCCCCACAATCTTTTCAAGACAGATAAAGAGGCTTGAGTCAAAGGGCTCTGCAAAAACTGTAATTTCATCACTAGTATGGTTTTAAACTTTAACAGCTTTGGTATCCATCTGTAAAATGTCATTTGTTGTAGTAGCTCAAACAAAAGAGAAAACACATTCCACTTCCTTCAATAAAATGTAAAAGTCTACAGTTTCTCCACATTTGTGCACTCAAGCCATACTAATTGATTCTACAATTACTTTTATTTTTTAGCATTTTTATTTGGCTCTTATACTACATAATTAATGGTGTTTACTTGGAAAGGTTGTTTATGTAAATGGCCTAAGTGGATTACTGAGCAAGCTTTAAAACAAATAAACATTTTCTCCTTTTAAAATTCACTTCACTCTCCTCTGTCTGGCAGAAGAGCAGAGTTTTTTAAATGTCCAAGGGGACATTAGAATCAGGCTTTTGAGATCCATTCTCCCCTGGTGAGTCGGGCTTATAATTCTGTTTCCCGTAATGGCTGGCCTGGAGGGAGTCAACAGTGACCCCACTAACCCAGCACATCCCAGACTCAGAAGCTTGTCTTTTCTTTGGGAGGTTGCCACTGTTTTTCTCTGTGACCTTAAACATAACACAGTATCTGGCCCTTGCAGATCGTTTCCTGTGGAGTTTGCAGACCTGAGGATGGGAGACTCATCAGATAAACAAATATGCTCACTATAAAGACCAGAAATACACCAGGAAAGAAATCCTACCAAGTTTCTGAATCTCTCCACCAAAACAACTGCATCACCAAATTGTGGCAATTACTGAGACTGTCCCTTCTAGTCAAAGTTCAAATCACAAGTTCTTTGAGTGACAACACAGAGCCAAGTTACTGTAAAACAGAGCTGGCATGACAGTCACTACTTGCCAAGACATACATTGTTTTTCTAAGGCATTCTGAAGGGAATATATTGACATCAAAGACCATTTCTTTATTTCTGCTCTCTCAGAGCCAAAGCTAAGGGGACAGGAGTAAAGATGCCTCCCTCCACACCCTTTCAGAGGCCTTCAGGTCATCTCTGGAACAGGTCATGTGTCCCCTAAAGTACCTTTGGAGTTATGTCAGGAGTTACAGATCAGACTGTGGCAGCAGGCTTTCTCTACACCAGTCTTCTGCCTCAGAGATGACCATTAAAGAACTCAATGCAAGTGAGTTCTGAATATTCTAGCACACAGAGATCCCTACATCAGTTCTATTCAGATTGGTAGAGCATAGCCTAGAATCGTAGTCCAGACCTAGAGGAGGAGACACAAGTCAAATGCCTAATGAGAAGCGTGGGGTTCTTGTTTGTTTTTTGGGATTTTTTTGGAGATATGGTTTCGCTCTTGTTGCCCAGGATGGAGTCTCAGCTCACTGCAATCCTCCCCTCCTAGGTTCAAGCAATTCTCCTGCCTCAGCCTCCCAAGTAGCTGGGATTACAGGCACATGCCAACACGCCAGGCTAATTTTTGTAATTTTAGTAGAGACAGGGTTTCACCACGTTGGCCAGGCTGGTCTCAAATTCCTGACCTCAGGTGATCCACCCGCCTTGGCCTCCCAAAATGCTGGGATTATAGGCATGAGCCATCACACCCAGCAACAAGCATGTTTTGAATGAACAAAACTGTACAAGACCCAGAGCTGTCTTAAGACCTTCAAATTCTTAAAACATTCTTTCACATCACTTGAAACATATTAAAAGGTATATATATTTCACACTTAATAATTTTTCTATGAAAGGATTTTTCAAATTTTGCTTGTGAAATTATTTGTCTAAAGTAAAATATAATTTCTCTACACTCATCACATATACTGAAGAACTCTCACTTGGTGAAAGCATCTCATCTAAAAACTGTTTTCCAATGTAATGAAGTTGTTATGAATGCTAAATCCAGCCATTAATGAAGCTGACACGGTGTTCGATTTTGTGACCATTTAATACATGTTTATTAATTTTGCTATGATTGTCCTTTTTTTTTTTTTTTTTTTTTTTTTTTATTTTTTTTGTAGACAATCATTTTTCCTGGCCAGACTCCAGATATTTTCCCACGCAGAATTCCCTTCCCCAGCACTGTAGGTCCTGGACCTAGAGGCTAAACTGGTCCTCTGAGCTCATGGCAATCAGCCAGGCACTCCCAGAGAGGGTATCAACTACAGTGAGTTCTCAGGGATTCCCAGACATTCCACAGGACTCCCTCTAACCAAAACAATGGTATGGAGGCTCCAGGTCTTGTGCTATCACTTACAAACCCAAGAAACTCTTACTCATTAAACTCAAATTCTAAAAATTTGTGAACTTTTGACTGCTTAGAGAAATTTACTCATAACCAATGCTAAAAGACTTCCTTGGCCTTGGTGAATCCATTCTCTTCCTTCAGTGGGTGAAATCAGGTTTCATAAATCCAAGTTATTTTATAAATCTTTGTTTTCCAACAATAAATGAGATTTGGAAGCTGATCTGGAGTTACATTCCTAGGAAGCTTTTCTGTCGCTCCACAGTATCTAACTTACTCATACTCCACCAAGGTGTTTATAACTAGACCCCAGATTCCTTCTTTAAAGATATCCTATCAGCAACTGTTAGGTGGAGTGTGCTTTATCAACTGACTTTTTATTTTTTTTCCAGAAAAATGAAGTCTCATCAGAGTGCAGCAACTGAAAAATAATCATAGGTAGTCTGTTGTCAGTCACAAAATTCTTTCTTTAGCCTGTCAGAAAACACTGAAGTGACAAAGAACTTGTAAATTCTACTTTCTTAATGTGGCCTCTAGCAAGACCACAAAATCAGTGTGATTTGTTTAAGGAATTCATTCCTGACCTTGGTTTGCTTTGTATCTTTTTTAAGACCTCTGAGTATAGATCGAATATATAGTGGTAAGCTTAAGGCATCAGACAGCATAAGATGGAATTCCAATGTACCATTTTGTAGCTGTGAGAACTTGGGCAAGTTATTAAACCTTTATTTCTTCATTTGTAAAATGGTACCAGTAATACTTAATAGCATTGTTCTCAGGATTAAATAGACTAATGAGTATAAAGCTCTTTGTGAGCAATCAGTAAATGTGAGCCTTGAGTATTACTATAGTAATGAATTACTATATATATCCATCATTTTCTCATTATTTACTGTACCACCATTTAAGCCACCACACCTAGAACCTGGATTGCTCAGTAGCTTCCTCACCTCCCTGCTTGCTCTGCTCTTGCCTATCCTAAACCCTTCTCATCTACTTCCCAAAGCTGAGGAAGCCTTTCAGAATGGAAAAGCAATCAGTTCAACCCCTTTCCCACATAAAACAGAAATGCCCCCAGCTACTCTTAGCACAAACCTGAAGGCCCTGCATGGCCAGACGCTTGCTTACCCAGCCTGTTTCCACCTCTCTCCCCCATTCCAAGCCTCAGCCATACTCATCAGTATTCCGGGTACAGCCCATACTGCACCCCCTCCACCACACCCTTCCCACAGCCTGCAGAGCTGTCCCCCACCCCACGCCCTTCAGATCCCAGCCCCAAAGCTACCTCTTCAATGAGATTCCCCTCAGATCTTTTCATAGGTACATATTCCTTCCCTGCAAAGCACATAGCGGAATAAACGCATGACCTATTTAATAAGGGATAATGTCCTAATGTCTGCTTTCCCACATCATTTTCAGTTTGCGGGAGGGTACGGCTGCCAGTTTTGCTCATCGCATTCCTCATTACCTAGTTCAGCCAAGACCTAGAAAAGGAGGACAGTTCATATTAAATTAACGAAAGAATGGATCCACGCAGAGGGCTTAAAATGGCTCAGACTCCACAGCCTCAAAACGTTGGCTCTGCACCTGAGGCTCGTTATTAAATGGTTCCCAAACATGCGTGATCACTTTTGCATGTTTTGTTTTTTTAGTTTGGCCTTGGTTTGTGTGTCACTTTTCATGAGTAAACGTTCAGGCGCGGCAACTCTTGAGAGCGTTGACGAGACCAGATCCGAGGGAGCCCAGCCGGCAGCGCTGCTGCAGTGGGGCGGAAGTGCGGGGGCGCGGGGCCGGCCCCGGGAGGGTGCGGGCGGAAGTGCCCAGCGCGGGGCGGAAGCGGAGATGTTGGCGGCGTGAGGCTCAGGTGGGTGCCCCTACCCCCGGGCCGAGGGTGGGCGCTCGCGGCTCTTCGGCTCTGAGCCGGCGCGCAGGCTGGCTGGGGTTCGCAGTGCCGCATGCCGCCAATTTTCATTGTCGTTAGAGGGAATTTAATTAAACCGGGAGCCATAAATCCATGAACCACCGGGGGGAGATTATAAACGCGTGTGCGTATGTCTGTGGTGGCGCTCTGGGAAGTAAATAAATGACGGGCGGGAAAAGGAAGCTTTTTTTAAGAGAAAGCAGAAAATATCTCAACTTCATACTTCTTCCAGTGATTCACAGATGCCACGTCCCGGGTTTAACTGAATTCTATGAAGTGGTAGTGTATTCACACTTGGGAGCCTGCTGAGCTGACTGCCTTTTTAAATAAATATTTTTGAGCAGCCATGTTGACCTTTAATTGGGGTGAAGAGGTTGAAAGTTGCAGCAGGGAACATTGTGAGTACAGGGGCTCTCTGGATCAGCTGTCTGGATCTCTCTCAGCCCTATTGGGCAAAAGCAGCCCTCTGGGTACTGAACAATGAGAGAATAAATCAGAGACTGTACATTCTCGACAAATACTTCTCACAAATAGCAGCTCATACAGTTTTTTAATAAGTCCAAGGATAGAAAAGTCTCCACTAAAATGTCATTGTGAATTAGGCTTGTAACTGTTTCTAAGGCTGTGTTTAACAAGGAGTGTTTTGCTTGGGTGATCTTTATTCTTGTTTATTAGTAAATAGTGTGTATGTGACACATTATATTTTAAAGTGCCCTTTAAAAAAAAATCCATAATATGGCCTTAGCTTGACCCCAAGGTTCTCAGTTCCTCAAGGACAGGGATGGTGTGTAAGATCTGTTATATCCCAATACTTTATAGCACATTTCCCAGCATTAGCACACAGTTCCTTGTTTCAGCAGCCACTAGAGCTGTGCCTTGGTATGTAAAACGCTGAGCAGTTGAGGTGCTTATTAAAGGCCACAGTCTCCTCATTCGGTCATATTCTGAGGACTAGCTTATAAAAATACATGTGAAACTCTCTACTAATATTTGGAGCTCTGTACATTGAGGTGCATTATACGTAAATAGCAGAAAGATTTAAAACACTGGGAAAAAAGACACCCTGGAAATATATTGGGTGATTATGGTAATACTGGCGCAAAGCAGAACTAATCATGGTTCTATGTGAAATATTGTAGCCCAATAACCTGGGTCCTGCAATGCTGAGCACTCGCCTGGAACCAGAAAGGCCCTGTTTTGAAAATTAACATTGGTGGGTCTTGTGCTTTACACAGGCAGGATCCCCAGATTGTCTTTCTTCCCTGCTGCTGTGGCAACAGTAGCCATATGCCAAGGAAGGATCAGTATTTTTTTTGTCTCCTTCATCAAAGAAATATGTGGCTGTGTGGTTTTTTTTAGATGGACTGTTGGCAGGTAAGTAATAGAAATGAGGATTTTTCCAACTTGGGAGTTTATTACACTGTGTTTCTCTTTTGTTCTAGATGCCTGGCTCTAAAGTACCCAGAGGCACTGTGAGAGATGCCTTTAAAATAGGTTATTTTTTAATTATTAAAGCTTTTGTGCTTTATAACTTATATATACTCTGGCTGGCTGACGTATTCAGTTACTGTAACGCTAGGGCTTGGGGTTTCAAACATAGCAGGACCTTGAGGTGATCTGGTACAAGTAGTGAGGTGTTTTTATGTTCCTTATTCAAATCTAATTTTTGCCACTGCTTTATTCAAGGACTGTACGTCAGAGGAAGCCAAAAGCCAGCTGGGATAGTTCCTGAATACAGTCTTAATCTTGTTTGCAATTATTTCGAAGGGGAGAAATAATCTGGATCAGGTATGTGTAGCTACACAGCAGGGACTAGGTGAGCTTCCTCTGTCCTTCCTCCAGTATTGCATAACAAATTTTAGGAACAAAATCATTTGGGGAAGAATATGCAAAATAAAAAGTTTTGGCTAAGTTTAGCATAGATATGAGTTTACATCCCTAACTCCCCATCCCAGTACAGCTACAGAGAACAGGAAACATGAAAATGTTGCTCTCTTTTTATTTCAATCCTTACCAAAGTTAAAGTTTCTAGAGATGGAGGCAAATTCAAAGTACCTACTGTTTTTAGAAAGTATCTGTCTTCAAGGATTTCAGACCATTTCACCAGTAATATCTAGTAACAGCCTTTTTACTGTTACAAGCTTCATCACTGTGGTATTGTGTTATTTGTCAGTCTTTCTACTGCTCAAGGCGTGAGTTCCTTAAGGGCAGGGACCATATAGTAATCACTTTTATATTTCTAATACATGGCACAGCACATGGCACATTGCAAATGCTCAGTAAAGGCTATAGAAATAAAAAGATAGTGTCCCTGAAGGGAGATTGGATCTATAAAGGGTATAAAACATTGGGAATGTAACAAGATAGAGAAAAGAATATAAAACAGTAACCTCCTTTCAGGTTGTAACTAGAGACAGAAGTAATGCTTTAATAAACAGCTTGGAGCAGGGAAGAGTATATTTGGGAATCCATTAGATGTTCGTCAAACTGCCTTCCAAGGAGATCTGACCTGGTCAGTTTTGGGTCCTTTGTTGCGTTGAGTAGAATATGCAAGCTAAAATCCTCCACCAACCCTGTCTCCACACTGTCTCCAGCCTGCCATGCAACGCCTCACCCAAACACCTGTTAGCAAATGTTTGAAGAGTATCTGCTTGAAAGTGTGCCAAATTATTAGCTTACATAGGGCACCAGTATCTTGGTTTGGTCTTGCCTTAAGGATAGAGAACCTCTGTAGTATCACTATCTTAAGTCTGGTCACTATTTTAAGTCTAGGTTGCCCAAATAATATTGAAGGAAATCCACACTTGTCTTTTCTGCTTTACTAACAACATTTCAAAGGAGTTCAAAGTTGACAGCTTTTTGTGTTGTAATAGGACAGTGGTGGTATATGTTGCTACCTTCTGTTGCCAATGGGATTGCAGCAGAAATCACACTGTTACAACTGGAAACAAATGAATTTCCTCTCATTGTTCCAGTGCTTTTTCATGTTAATCATGAAATAGTAGGGAAATGATTTTTAGTTTAGTCAGGAGGAAAGGACATGACGTTGAATTATTTGATTTTTTTTTTAACTCTTTGCTTCGTAAAACACATAGTCCTTCTACCCAGTGAAGAGAAATGATACTGTTGTTTAATAGAATCATTAAACCCAGGACATTAATCTGGGGAAAAAAGATCTAAATTCAGCCCTTTCTGCAGGTTCAAAAATGAAATAAATGTGAATCTTTTTGGATTTAGAGAACAGAGCCTCATTTTTATGGTAAAAGAATTATATCGTCTGAAACTGAGACTTTCCTCATTCTCTCCATCCTTAAATTAAGCTTTATACAAGATGAAGTGTCTGTTAATTGGTATATTCTGAGGAATAATATGAAAAGTGTTTTGAGATTTCTTTGGAAGAAAGAGTGTTAAACTTGGAGATCCCTTCTAGTTCTGAAATTTTGTGTTGATCTCATTATACACAAAAATATGCCATTATTCCAGGAGAAAATATAGAGAAATGAACTAAAAAATATAGTATGAAAAACTTAAGCATTCGTTTCCTTATACATAAAGCAAGGGGAATCTCCAAAGTCATTTCCAGTTCCAAAACATTAAAAAACTCTATCAATGATGGCTGTTAAAAAACAGACTAGGACTCAGAAGACTGTAGAATCTCACGCAACTGAGGGAGGCCACAGCCTAATGTCAAGAGTAGCTGGCTCCCAACTTTCAGATTGAACTTTGTATTTCTACAGGCCTAGGTCTCACTGTTAGCACAAGTCCAGAGAAATGGTAGATTTAGCAACTCAAATATCCAAAGTCATTTGCTACAAAATGGCTAGCAATGAATGAAACATCTTTTAGGTTTTGTGGGAGCATAAAGATAGCTTCATCTCTTTGACAAGATAAATTGAAAATGGGTGGAATTTTAGGAACAAAGAGAAGACATTGCCTGGGTGGATGGTTTTTGAATTGCAAACAATTGTTTTTGGAAATGGGATTATGTGCTTTTTAAATAGCAGGGGAACTTGCATTACTAGCTGGGTACAATAAGACTAAGATGTCTAATGAAATTGCCTTCTTTCTAGGTCAGTATTAAGTATAAGAGATATCTTCAAAGGGAATGGATCATGTTGGTTAAGAAGGATAATGTGGAAAGGAGTCTGCATAATTCCTTATATACTTTGTTCCCATCCCTTGAACTAGAATGATTTTGCCCTCATCTTAATGCTGTCTTTATGGAATGAAGGAATTTTCAAATTGGTTTTTAAACTCTATTAAGGCCTCATGTATGATATAACCCAACCACATTATTCAGGTTGTCTTGGCTTTCAGGAACAGCTTTGCAGCCATTATGTCATAATTGAACCAAACATTCTTGCACACTCTGAATTTGGAATATGCTGCTCTGGCTCCAGGGCAGTTGCTGAGTCAGTATCTTTGGGGTTGAGTGTGGAGGGGAGGGGTATAGTGTGTACAAACCCCATTGTGTTATCAGGAATTAGTCCAGAATTCCTTTTGGACTTCCCTTGGGAACTAGAGGGGGTATATGGTAAGCATACATCACTGTTCTTGATTAATATCATTATTTTACTTTCTTAGCTGAGTGTTTGGAAACTCTTCCCTC